CCTTGGAGTGCCACACCAATATTGATTATTATTATTTTCCTTTGCTTTAAGTCTTTCCTTCAAAAGTTTTCTCTTTTCTGCCCTTTTTCAAAGCTAGAAAGTCATACAAATTTAAGTGTCCAGTTTGAGTAGGAGAGAGGTGTGCTGGAGACAGAAGCAATGTCTGTGACAGGTACAGGATGATGAGAAGCTGTTTCTTCCTTTCCATTAATGGCCACAATGTGGACAGAGCCTTTTTTGTTTTAAATTGCTATATTTTTTGAACAATTCTTTGTACAGCCCATATTTAACTGAGAAATAATTGAACTGAGCTTTTGTATTTCTCTCTGACTACCCTTCCCCTACCAAATCTAAATTAAGTTGCTTTTTTAAAGTTGTACATGAACCCTGATCCCTTCTCTCCCCCACCCCGGCCCCCATTTTCCAATGTCTCTGGAAAAAAGGATCAGATTTCCCCATCAGAGAACAGGGAATTCTCATTCAGGATATTTGTCAGCAAAAATTGATTTAATCTGGTGCACCAAAAAAAAATCTTCACTGCTAATTTCCATGAATATGCCCATTACATTTTGATGCAGTAAGACAGGAATAAGTGTCAATACAATGAATGCTATTACATTGTGACAAAAGGTTGAAAAGAAAATTATTTTCCCTTTGTAGTATTTCTTCTGACATGGATAGGAGGCAGCGTGTTACCTTGGAAAGAGTACCCACCCTGTAAGCCAAAGTTTCATCATTAGATCAGAGCCTTAGGTACACACAATTGTAACTACCAGGAGGAGCAGCTAAGTGGCACAGTGGATACAGCACTAGCCCTGGAGTCAGGAGGAGCTGAGTTCTAATCTGGCTTCATGCACTTACTAGCTTTGTAACCCTGGGCAAGTCACTTAACCCTGATTACCCAACCCCCCCTACAAAAAAAAAAAAAAGACAAGTAACTACCTATTCAATAAAGGCCAGGGTGGAATCAGAGGACTTGGGTTGAAATCCTACCGCTGCTGCTTACCACTTCTGTGACCTTCAACAAGTCACAACTTCCTAAGATTCAATTTCCTCTTCTTAAACTAAGGGAATTGAACCAGATGACCTATGATGCTATAAAAAATAATTATTATCCAGGTGATGTCAAGAAACCAGGCCTACAATGAGGTGTAATAAGAAAATAGATTACAGAATCAAATATTCCTTTTCAGGAAGTGAGGTGCTGATCTCCTGGAGCTAAAAAGAGTTAGCTCACTAGCATTCAACAGAGTCTCAGACTTGGAAGAGAGGACTCAGAGGCAACTAGTACTTGTGGTACCTAAAGAATTCCTTCAGAAATATGCGCAACAAAATGGACACTGAAGCTTTGCTTGATGACCTGTGTTGGGGATTCTGTTTATCTCCTGAGAGGCAGCCCATTCCCCTTTTGGATACCTCTAATTGTTAGGAAATTGTCTGACAACAAGCTTTCATATGCTTCTTTGCATTCTTCCCATTGCTTCTGGTTCTGTCCTCTGAGGCCAAATGAAGAGTTTAAACCCTCTTCAATATGACAGCCCTTCACATAATTAAAACACCCTATTGTGCCTTCTTTCCTTCTGCCAAGTTTTCTGTGGGCTAAACATTGCCAGTTCCTTTGACTGATTTGCTTATGACATGATCTTAATCATCCTGGCAGCCTGTGTACAGGAGTGCCTGTATGGTGATAAAGATAGGGGTTTGGAGTCAGAGGACCTAGCTCTGCTTACAAATTATATGACCTCTGGGTCTCATCTGGAAAATGAGAGATTGGACTAAATGGCCTTCTGGCTCTAAATATATGATGTTATAATCCTTTCTGGGTGCTCTGTAGTTTACCAATGTGTTTTTTCTGAAGTGTAGTCCCAGAACAAACCAAATTATATATAATATCTAACCTGGGCAGAGTCCAGCAATTTCACCATGTGCAGCATACTAAGTAGTACAGGGAAAGTTAATAACTAAACAAACAAACAAGTTAACAATTTACTCTCCAACTCATTTATTTATACCTTCACAATAACTCTCGTATATGTCAATATGTCTTCACTATGTCAATGACAAGCAATACTTACTCAAATACTCTCTTATTCTTGCCTCCAGTCTATCCTCTTTCCAACTCATTCTCCACAGTACTGCCTGAGTAATATTCTAAACACCCCTGCCCTCTAATAGACTGTAAACTCTTTGAGAGTAGATTACGTATATCTTTTGTGTCCTCAGATCTTTGAACTGGAAAGGACCGAGTAAAAATTGGATTAATAGGAGCCTAGTAAAAGAGAACCTAGTTGTCCTTAATGAGGTTAGATCACCATGCCCAAATGACTTATAACTTTATGTACTGGAAGAAACTGGATGATTGCTGGACTATTTTCAATCACCATTGAAAGAGCATTGGAAGTTGGAAAGGTGCCAGATGGAAGAAGAGCAATGCTGTCTTGATTTTCAATAAACTATAGGTCAATGAACTTGACATGTTTCTGGAAAAATCCTATGTGAATTAAAGGGATTGAAGGTTTTTAACCTGAAGTACATAGACTTTTTAAAAATGTAATAACTGTATTTCAATATAATTGGTTTTCTTTGTAATCTCATGTAGTTTATACTATATAGTTAAACATTCCTCTGAGATGAGGTCGATAGGCTTCACAAGAAAGGTCAAGAGGGGTCCTCATACAAAGTAACTTAAGAATCCCTGGTTCAAAGGATATCATTAAAGAAGTACCTACCTAGTATACATCTAGGAAAGCAAAGAGGGCTCACAAAGAGCAGGATGGTTTAATAATTAATAGTTCAGACCACACTACCCTCATTTCCTTTTTTGAAAGGGTGCTAGATGATTAGATGAAGGGCTGAAGTGGGAGATACTACTGACATAGTTAATCAGGATTTTAGCAAAACAATTGTCTGTTTTTTGTGGCTATCTTGATGAAGAAGAGGCTAGATTCAAAAGTGATTGAATTGTTGGGCCAAAAGAAGAGTTATCACTGCCTCAGTGGCTCCATGGAAAGGCATTTCTGGTGGAGAGCCCCAAAAGCCCAAAAAGCTGTGCTCTGCCCATTACCAGGGTTGTGCTGGAGCCAGCAAAAGCTGGAACCAATTGTGAAATTTTCAGGGTGAGCATTTGCTCCTTGGAAGTTGGCAAGTGCTACAAATGAGGGCTTGATTTGTAGTTTTGTTGATTATCTAGAATTGAGAAGATGTTAATAATGCAGATTTTCCATTTTCGTGTGCATATTTTCTCCCTCCAGACTCATTTATTAAACATTTACCATGTCACCACTGTCTTTTATTTACTATTTATCACCTTTATCAATGACTTGGATAAATGGATGGATACCTTACATATCAGATTCATAAATAACACAAAGCTACAAGGAATAGCTAATATGATGGACAACGTGATCCCAAAAAAATCTCTATTGTCTAAAACATTGGGTTAAATATTATAAAAATATATTTAGTAGAACACAAGAGGTCTTTTTTTTTTACTTTTTAAATTCTGAACTTAACAAAACCCAAACATTTCTAGAAATTCTAGAAAAAAAAAATTATACAGGAAATTATGAATCTCTAATAAAATACATGTGGCAGCTAGGTGGCACAGCGGATACAGCACCAGGCCTAGAGTTAGGAAGACTCATCTTCCTGAGTTCAAATCTGACCTCAGAAACTTATTAGCTGGGACCCTGGGCAAGTCACTTAACTCTGCCTCAGTTTCCTCATCTGTAAAATGAGCTGGAGAAGGAAATGGCAAACCACTCCAATATCTTTGCCAAGAAAACCCCAAATGGAATCACAAAGAGTCGGACACAGCTGAACAACAACAACAAAGACTTATAAATTTGGTTTCAAAAAAATCAGTTTCATAAATACGTGACAGAGGAGATATAGACGATTTGAAAAAGATCAAGGGTGGGGAGGTGTTAATTGAGTTTCTAGGACAAGAAAGGTGATAGTCATAATTTTTAGACCCCATCAGGAATACTGTGTTCATTTCTGAGTGCCAGATTTTAGTAAAGGCATTGATAAGCTGGAGAGCAAGGAAACGAATGTGGCCTGGATGATAAAGCTCCTTGCCACGACTGAAGATTGGTCAGAAGACGTGTGGATGTTTAAGCTGGAGAAGAGAAAGCAGGAGGTACATAATAGCTACCAGAGTATTTTTTTAAGTTGTCACATGGAAGACAGATTAGACTTGTTCTACTTGACTCCAGAGGGCAGAGCAAGAAGGGCAGGATAAAAGTTGCAAAGAGACAGGTTGTCTTGTTGTTAGAGAAAAAACAATTAAATGTAGGATGGGATGTTTTGGGAGTACCGAGTTCCCTGTCATTGGATGTCCTCAAGCAGGGGCTAAACAGCTATTTGTCAGTGAAGGTATTAATTGCATTAGAGGCCTTTGGGGTCCCTTCCAACTCTGGGATTCTATAATTTTGGCTACATAAAAGTCATCAGGACCCAGCCTATAGTTTGAAAGAACCAGGTTCAGGGGTAGGCTGAGGCTTTGGGCCAGGGTTCCTAGGAAGCTCAGGGCATGAAGGCATGTTCGTTGGGGTGGGAATGGGGGGAAGAGAGGGTAGGTTGAGAATCCTTGACCCTACAAGAACCATTCGGGAGACATTGAGGAAGTATGGCTCTTGGTTATCTTTGAGCAAGTCACCTCTAAACCCATGTGTCCAAGGCCTTCTGCTGTTCTATATTCTCACTCCTAAGCAAGCAGCTATCATTTTCCCTCCCTCAGGTTAACGTTGGAACTAGCAAATCACTTTTAGGACTCTAGCTGGGTGAACTAAGATGGTCCAGGATGGAGGCAGGTGACCACTTCCAGGATCTATTTTCTCGTCAACTGAAGATGGCGCTTAGTATTGTGGAGGTCCTAGCCAATAGTCCTGACTGTTTTCTAAAGATCCTGGTACCTTTCTGCAGGGATTGGGATATGGGGAGGGTGTACCCTCTTGTTATGCTGTGCAATTAGAGACTAATGTCTCTGTCCCTCACAGTGAACGGCTACCACTCATCAGGGACCCCAGTGCATCAGTCAGAGCCTGTCCACATGAGTCTCCGAAAACCCACTGGTGATTTGCAGGTAAGGGATGTGGGCTTCAAGTCTGGGATTTGGGTGGTAGGAGCTATGAATGATATAGGCAGAGTCTGGTGGATTCAGATGGCTACCCCAGTTGACTAGTTAGGGGTATAGTGAAGTCACTCTGTCTTCCAGTGGTTTTTAAAAAAAAAATACTCAGATACCTGTAGATCAGCCCCCAAACCCCTGCCATTACCATCAGGAAAAGCAGTAACCTGTCATGTGCCCCCAAGCCAACCTTTTGTGATTTATTTTCCCCTTTAAGACAGTTCTTATAGGTTCCTAAATGTATAGTTGTAAGATAACTTAGAGATCATCTAATCTAGCTCCTTTGTTTCTAAATGAATAAATTGAGGTCCGGAGAAGTTAAGTGACTTGTGTAAGGTTGAACAAATAATAAGTAGCAGAACTGGACTTTAAACCCATTTCCTCTGACTCCAAATCTACCTGTGTTTCCACCATTGAATGATGCCTCTTCTTGATTGGTTTCATTTAGGATCATAAATTTAAAGTTGGAAGAGGTCTAAAATATTATGTTTGGTACTGATTCTTTCCTTTATGGAAATATTTTTGAAAATGATAGTGTGATTTGACCAGGTACTGCATCACCATTGCAATGGGCCTGGATTTTATAGAATCATAGAATTTGATACTTGGCAGTCAGTAAGCATTTATTAATCAATCAGTCAATCAATAAACATTTTGCAAGTGCCTGCTGTGTACCAGGCACCATGCTAAACACTGAGTATATCCAAAAAAAAAAAGGGTAAAAGACAGACAGTCCCTGACCTCAAGGAGCTCACATTCAATGGAGTAAGCAGCATGCAAATATATAATACATATTATATATAATACACATATGTTGTATATAACATAATATGTAAATATATAATCATGCCATATACAGGATAAAATTAAGATAATCAATGGAAAGAAGTCACTAGAATGAAGGCTTTCTGTAGAAGGTGAGATTTTATCTGGGACTTGGAGAAAGTCAGGGAAGCCAGAAGTCAGAAGAAGAGACCTCATTGACTATCTATTTTTAACTTTTATAGGAGTTAACACATCAGACAAGTGGTATGTTTCATAACAAATTACCCAAGTACAGGTGGCTGGAGAGTGGGTAAAGAACAAGAAAAACTGTATTTTGTGTAAGCCTAGGTCTGCTATGTAATCCAGTAAGGTCTAATTAAATTTAGCATCACTCTGCCATTGTGGTCAAACTCTCAGTGTGTCATGAATTATCGTAGCTATAGAGTAGCTGTCCTGTGGTTATGCATTTTAGTTCTGGAGCCGTTAAAATAAGCATAATCATATTAGCTGACATTTCTGTTGCTTTTTAAGGTTTACAAAGCACTTTGCATATATTATCTCATTTGACTTGTGAGATGGGTATAACAACATTTGTGCTACCTATTTTAACACATGAGGAAACGGATCACACAGCTAGTAAGCACAGAACAGGGTCTTGAACCCATCCTCTGACTCCCGAGTCCAGTTACTAATTGTGCTTATCGCATTAATTAGGGATGTGGTGGTAGAATATTGTATGGCTGTTGAGACTTCTTCTAGATAACATATATAGTGGAGTCCCCTAGAGATTAATCTTATTTAGCATAGTTTTACAAACGACCAGGAAAATGGAGTGTGTACTAAAATCTGCAGGTGACATCAAACCTTCCTTTCTACTGAAATTCCAAGCTGACAGGGATAAATGGCACAGATAACTTCCAAGACTGTTAGTGACCTGAGAAATTACTGAGGAGCTTCAGCAATATTTGTAGGATAATAGATCTTGAGGTATCATAAGATATAGGAGCACAAAGCTGGAAGAGGACTCAAAAGCTACCTAGTCCAGCCAATACCTAAATCCCCACTACAACACACCTGAAAAATGGTCCTCTCACAGGAGCTATGCATGAGACAAACATCTTCAAAGAAGTTAATGGGGAAAAAACCCCCTTCCCTTTAGATATGAATATTAGCCTCAATCTGTGGAGACGCTAACTCCCCTCCTCACCTCCATACACAAATATACCCCAAAGAGTACTCTACAGCAGAAGGAAGTAATAGGAGATCAGGTGATCCAGTGCAAAAATTGTGAGGTCTGGGGTCAGGAAAACCTGAGTTCAGATCCAGCCTCAGACACTTATTAGCTGTGTGACCCTGGGCAATCATTTAACCCTGTTTACCTTAGTTTCCTCATCTTAAAATGAAGGAAATGGCAAACCCCTCCAGCATTTTTGCCAAGAAAACCCCAAATAGGGTCACAAAGAATCAGACATGACTGAAATGACTGAACAGCAACAACAAAGTTGCCTACGCAGAAGGCTGACTCTTGTTTGTCCTTCGTTTTCAAAGAGGACCATGACACCAGGAAGGTGATGTCATGACTTGCAAGTGAATTGGATCTAAGTGAGAGAGGACTGTGCAAAGTCACTAGACTCACTCTGTCCTCCAGAGCCATCTGGGTCCAGTGGCAAGATATAGATCAGGACAACTGGAAATGGCCCTGTGTGCAGTGGGAGACCTTGGCCTTTTTAAACTAAGGTCTTTCCAAGTTCTCACTTTGACTGAGGCAATGCCCATTCAGTGATTAAAGTTAGGTAAGAAATGAGGTAAAGAATGGTCTCTTTAACCTAGTCAAAAAGAAATAAGTCACTATAGGAGGGGAAGAACCTCACAGTTTCTGGCCAAAACAGAAACAGTTGATGTTTACATTCACTGTGAGCCATCAGGGCCCAAGCTGTGACTAGGTGAGGCTTGGGCTGGGACCTGTTGTTGGTCAATCAATGAGAGCCAGCCTCACCCCAGCCTCATTTATTACTAAATAAATCTCCGAGTGCTGATATTCTTCTCAGAGGGCAAAGTTAACCATCTTTGGAAGGAAAAAATTGTGAATGAGGACATCTAGGAAGGAAGGAAGGAAGGAAGGAAGGAAGGAAGGAAGGAAGGAAGGAAGGAAGGAAGGAAGGAAGGAAGGAAAGAAGGAAAGAGAAAGAGAGAAAGAAAGAGAGAGAAGGAAGAAGCTGCATTGGCCAATTGGAACCATCCAGTTGGGTCCCCAGTTTGTCTTTCTTTCTCAAAGAGGACCATGACACTGGGAAGGTGATGTCATGACTTGCAAGTGAATTGGATTTAAGTGAGTTAAGGCTGTACAAAGTCACCAGCCTCATTCTCTCCTCTGGTGCCATCTGGGTCCAGTAGCAAGATACAGGATGACTGGAGATGGCCCTCTAGGTGGTACAGTGGATAGAGCACTGATCCTTGCATCAGGAGGACCTGAATTCAAATACGGCCTCAGATACTTACTAGCTGTGGGACCCTGGGCAAGTCACTTAACCCTAATTGCCTCAAAAAAAAAAAAAGGCTAATTCTCCACACAAGTCCCTCCTATGACTAAAATGTTAAAACTGACTTCTATTTTTCCATTTCATATCTGAGCCATTCTCCTCCTGGACCTCAAGAGAAAATGATGAGGAGAAAGATCATAGGATCATAGATTTAAACATGGAAGGCACATTAAAGTTTAACTGGTCCAGCCCTTTCATTTTGTAGATGAAGAAATGGAGGCACAGAGAGTGATTAAATGGCTTGCCAATAACTAGATAGGCAGTAAGCAGCAGAACTCAGATAAAAACTCAGATCTTCTGACCCGATTCAGTACTCCCAATGCTAACCCTGCCCTACCCCCCCAAAAAAAAAATCACTCTAGGTGGGTAGGGGAAGAGGCTTGTTTATACATGAAATAGAAGGTTTATAGTGTGTGGTAAAAAAAAATGATATTAAGTAAGAGATGAGAGGCTAAGACCATAATGGATTGAAGGGAAAGAAAGCAGAATATTATAGAAACAGGTAGGATGTGATTTGGATAGAACTGCTACAATATTGAACTGAGACCAGGAAATGCACCTAAGGAATGCAAGGGAGAAGGAGGTGGCATAAAGCAGTACTGAGTTTACTGCATGGGGGACAGATGGAAAGTTAATTTTTCCATAGGCATTTTGGATGGACTTGAGTGGATTAGGAGATACATGTGGGCATGAAGGAGTCTGATGGGGAGAGTGCAGGTTAGGGTTATAAGTAATGAGTAATTATGTGTGGACTGCCAAAGTTTGGAAAGCCATCTCTAAAACTGTGCTGCCCCACTATTGTACATTACCCTCCTTGTCACATTCCTGCTTACAAAAGAATATACTGAAAAAATGGGAATAGTTTTTTTAATTTATTGATATTTTTTATTTTTGAACCTTTATTTCTAAATATATCCCTCCCCTGCTTAGCAAGCCATCCTTTGTAAATAATATAACCATTTAAGACATGTAGTAGTCACCCACACTGTAGTGCTTCAAATCTCTCACATAAATATGTAGCTATCTACTTACTCTCTGGACTGGCTTGCTCACTCTGATCTGCCCTCACACTAGCAGGTCTAGTTTCCTAGAGAAGGACCACCAGCAGCATATAGTTATATTTATTCTCTCAGAGTCCTAAGGGTAAACCTATTGTGGGAGGGAATATAATCCTGCTACTCACCTTTTTGGCTCTTGAGCCCCAACCGAAGTCTTTCACTTTCACCCAACCCAGCTTCTCATAACGATGACACTTTTAGATCTTAAACATAACCACTTATCTAGCAAGAAGGCAAAAAAAACCCTAATTATAGCATCAAGGATAACCTGTATATTAAAGCGCAAATTTGTGAATAATGAAATATGTTACACAGACCTGGGTCACACTCTCCCAACCAATTCATTCAGTGTCTGTAAGGGAGAGTGGGCATACATTTATAGCAGCCTGGCAGGGAATCAATCTTATGTGTGTTCAAGGCAGTTCACAACTCTGGGAATGCAGGACTTTATCTGATTGGTCCATTCAGGAATATCAGTACCACATGAAGCCACCTGTCTGTCAACTGCTTCCCTTCTGATCCTCACCTAGCAGAATCCCCTGTATTTTTTTGTTCCCAGCCCATCATAGCATTTATAATGTCTTTCGACTTG